TAATGCTTAAAAAAATATATGCTAATGGTTGTAATAACTCACTCCGCACACTCGTCAGAGGTTATCAGCAATTAACTGCTTATACTTCTCGATTTTTCTTTTTATATGGACTTTTCTTGGTGTAAGATTATTTTTCGTAGTCTGTGTGTGCGTATGTTCGTGCACCTCTCTGCGCGTGTGTGCGTATGTATTATTTGTTCTTTTTCGCCGTTTTTCACTACACACTCATTCCTTAACTTTTTCTCTATTTTTGACATTTTATGTGTGCCTCTCTCTCTCTCTCTCTGTCTCCTCAGCCTAATAATAAAAAAGCATTTATTAACACAACATTATTAATTCTCAAATAATCTCCTTCCTTTTCAATGTACTTAATTCGGTGGACAGATTAAACATGGTTTCGTCGAAAGAAGAATAATTGACTTCTTTTTCTGGGGTATGCAAAAGGAGAAGGTTACTCTGTGAAAATCACAGATGCAACACACTTGATTGAATGCATAAAGAGTGAATGTACTAAAATTGACGGCAACAGAAAAAAAACAAAAAAAATTAATTGAAACAAAACGAATTCCGTTATTATTTAATTTTCCTATTTTTCCAATGAAACATGACCCACTGCACATCTTCGTATGTCTATTCCATGAAGTCTTTCCTTGCAGATTGACCACAGATTCTCGACTGGATTTAAATCAGGAGAGTTTCCGTGCTGGTCTAGTCCTTTGATTTGCCCCCCTGTAAGGCTTGTCAGTGTGTTCGCGTAGCGTTACAATTTTGTACGCTTTTTTGGAGTAACGTCTATCGCGGACAATGGCTGTAGGACAACTCATCGATAGTCGAGACAGTAGTGTCTAGGTATGATCATAATCTGATGCAATCACGGATGAGGCAATATTTTTCAAGGTCATCATACGCCCCGAAATAGATTCATATTACTGCGCAAATTACCTAACCTGAGGAAAAAATAGAAATCGATTACACTCTGTCACTCCAGTGGGTCTAAAACTGAAAGGAAGCTAAAGCAGTTCTTTCAATTAATTTGCATGAGGGTGTACATAATTAAACGATCGAGAACACTGACGTGGTGTAATGGTTAGTAAGCTTGTCTCGAGCAATTACGACTAAATATGAGTTCGATGCTCACTGGGTGCTCTACACTTTCAGCCATGCGTTACATTTAGGCTAGGCTTAGAAAATTACTATTAGGAAACTTAGACGTGGTATAAGAGTAACCAGCTTGTTCTCATTAGATCCATTACGACTGAATACGGATTTGATCCTGTCTGGATATTCCACATTTTGGCATTGTACTACATGTAAGCTGCGCTTAAGAAAATCATTTAAGGGTACTTCGATATAGTGTAAAAGTTAGCATGCTTGTCTCGCTAAATCTATTACGACTGAGTAGTGAGTTCGATCTTTACTGGGTGCCCTAGAGTTTCAGCCATGTGCCAGATCTCAGCTATGCTTTGAAAATCACCATACGTACCTAAGATGATATTTTTATAGCAGGAGAAAATGTTAACGAGATTAAAAATCACAAGTCCAACTTGGGACAAAGTTCGGTACTAAAATTCAGATACGAAGTTAGTAATCGTATCACGATTCCGTTTTTAGAAATCTTACCGAATTCAATTATACTGTCTTTAACATTCCATTGTAGAAAGAAAAAAACTCAACTAATGCAAACACCTATCCTCTCATTTATAAAAGTGTTGTAACTTAGGGAAGGTTACTGAATAGAATAATCACACGAAAGTTGGTAATGAATGATAATACTTAGGACAAGAACAACACATATAAGATTCGTCAGTGGCACGTAGAAGTAATCAACTGTTAGAAGTGAGTCAAATGAATTCCACAATGAATCTCCAACTGTAGGATATCTAGCAGCCGTCCCATGCGGTCAGATGTAGCACAAAGCCGAATTTAATATAGAGTATCCGAGCCCATAGACTCGGCCAAAAATTCCCCGTAGACCCCGTAAAAAAGGAGTCGGGTTGCTGTTTCCCGAGACGAGACTCTGCCCTTCGATATCTAGGGATCCTCTCTGCCCGGAGTCAGAGAGTTTGACCAACACAGCTGGAGACGAATATCCAACTGCAGATTAACATACAGTATTTACTACTTTAGTTACATGAATGGGGACATACCCATTATCGTCCGTATGTATGCTGCAACAAAAAGCGAATGTCTCTGTGATAGATTCTATTTCTAATATTCTTTTTCTATGTGCATCCTCCCTTCATGACATTGTTCGTTACAATTTGCTTTCCACGTGGAACTTAACAGGGTTTCGCCATTGGCTAAACTCTCCATTCCGCCATCCGTTCGCTCGTCAGGTGGGTGGCTCGTCACCTTTCTCCTGTCTCTCTTCAACTCAATATGCCCTGTGAGGATTAAGTTTTCCAAACCGTCCTTCCTCAATTGGAGTTCAAGAAATTTCCACCAACTCTTTCTGATTCTTTATATCGCTATTTTCCTTAAAAGTTCCCCGCTGCTTATTCGTTCCGAGACAGGAGGATTTCTTTGGTAACAAAGAAAAGGGTACTGAACTGGTACGTGACATCTGTCCTCCTTTACGGCAGCGAATGTTGAACGGTCTCCTCAGTGATGAAGAAGAGACTCGGGGCGACGGAGGTAGGGTTCTACAGAAGGACGCTAAAGATATCATGAACTGGGCGTGTGAACAACGATGAGGTTTTGGAAAGGATGCAAACAAGAAGGAAGCTTATACTTAACATCAGGAAGAGGCAGATGAAATTTCTGGGAAATGTAATGAGTATAGAGGGCTTGGAAACTCATGAAACCTATTGAGAGTAATGAGACAGGAGGATTTCGTTGGCAACAAAGAAAAGAGTACTGAACTGCTACCCGCCATCTGTCCTCCTTTACGGCAGCGAATGTTAGACGGTCTCCTCAATGATGCAGAAGAGACAGGAAAAGGCAGCTGAAATTTCTGGAACACGTAATGAGAAAGGAGAGTTTGGAGAATCTGATAACCACAGGTCGAACAATGAGATGAGAGAAAACAACGCATGACATAACTAGCGGGCTTAAGCAAGTGGGTGACAGAACATGGCCTGGGGGGAAGTAGCAAAAGGACAAAATTTATTGAGAGCTACAAGGGATAGGGAGGAAGTGGAAAGCCATGATCGTCTACATCCTGAAGGCATTTTCTGTATCTTGTAGAACCACATTTCTGTTGCCTTATGTTTTCTCATCATCTTTCCGGATGATGGATAATACATAGCAATCCGAGACGCTTTGTTCTTGAAGAAATTTTTCTGTTTCTTAGTACATTACTTAACTTGTAAAAAGCACCTTTCATTAATCCATGTGTTCAGATGTCGATGTCACGTACAGAAACGCAAAAGCCTGAATTCTAACTCATACATCTGTCTATATTTCTGAGATGGGGCATTATGTACACTATTTGCATTTTTCGGACTATCATCCTCATACTTGTTGTCATATTTATCACATTTCGGTCGTTGTACGCTCCGGCCCTCTTCAGGTGGTTGGATGTCGAACTGAACCCTTTATTTCACTCGCTGGGACAGACCGTTCTAGTTACACGCGCCATGTCTAATGGATGCTAATTATCAGTTATCTCCTGTTAATACCCCTCTCCAAGTTTTCCACTGCCTTAACCAGGTATTGAACTCACAATCTTTGGGTCCTGTCACTGGATCTAACTAACGCTTTTTCCACTGTGCCATGTGTCCTCAAGGACACACGGCACAGTGTTTCATGTTAGATCAAGGCGTTAGTTAGATCCATTATGAGGAAGGAGGAGCTGGAGAATCTGATACTCACGGGTCCCAGAAACTTCAGCTTCCTCTACCTGATGTTAAGTATAAGCTTCTTCCTTGTTTGTATCCTTTCCAAAGCCTCATCGTTGTTCACACGCCCAGTTCATGGTATCCTTCTGTAGAATCATACCACCATCCTTCTGTAGAATCATACCACCATCCTTATGTAGAATCATACCACCATCCTTCTGTAGAATCATACCTCTAAGATTTCAGCGTTGCTCACACGCTCAGTCTATGATATCCTTAGCATCCTTCTATAGAACCACATCTCCATCACCTAGAGTCTCTTCTCCATCTTTGTGGAAATCGTCCAACATTTGATGCCGTAAAGAAGCACAGATGTCATATAACGGCTCAGTATTCTTTTCTTTGTTACGAAAGAAATTCTACTGTCTCTCAATACTCTGCCCAGCTTTTGGAATGCGTCCATGGCCATCCCAATATGTGTACGGATCTCAGTGTCGCAATTACCGGCCTCTGACAAAACGCCTAATTAAAATTCCGTCTCTGCTTTTTTGTAGTGTTTCCGATCTGCAAAGCGCATTTTGGGCGCATCGGTGTTGTAAATGACTAACCGAACTGAAATTCTTGGTTGGTTATAAAGGGTTTTAAAAAGGCATGAACCCGTCTTCTCCACTTAACTATGATTTATAGGTAGACTCAGCTCTCTAGCCTTGGTTAGAAACCAGTCTAGGAAAATAAAAGTCTGCATTCTAAACCTTACAGAAGACAATCTCTTCAAGTCAAGAGTGAATCGTTATCTATTCTATATATCTTTACTTTTATTTCCTCCTCTTACATTCATTTCACACACGGCAATGAGTAATCCTCTACTCTGAGTGGCTCTTGAGCCTTATATTTAGCGAACACAAGTAAAAAATGTTTAAAAAAATTCCTCTCCTTGTTATAATTATTATGATTGGTCATGCACAAGATATTAATTTTTTACGGCCCCCATTGCTTCTTTATTTAGCTTTATTCGCAGCTGTTTTGCGATTTTTGATAATTAAATCGTCTTCATCTGGCAAAGAGAGAGAGAGACATTACTAGCTTTCCCATCCTCTTTTTTCATCTCCCTCCCTACTTTTCACTCTCTACAATTGCTCACGTTTTCTGCACGTGGCCATTATTATCTAATCAGTGAACGACGTCTTGTTAATGAGGAATTGTTTGCTGCCCGCTCTTCTCATGGAATATTATTCGCATTCTCATGTTGACACGCGGATTATATGGAGTCCTGATCTTTCTTTCTTTCTTTCTTTCTTTCTTTCTTTCTTTCTTAATTTTGTTCTTTTTTCTTTCTTTTTTTAGCTTAGTTCTTTCTTTATTAACTCTGCCATTCCTTTAATTATTTGTTTAAACTATGAATTTTCTTTCTTTCTTTCTTTCCTTCTTTCTTTCTTTCTTAATTTTGCTTCTTTTTTGTTTCTTTTTATATAATTCTGCGTCTTTATTTCTGTTTCATTCATTTTTAACTTTACTTTTCAATCTGTCTTTTTTATCATTCTTTCTTTTTTTTCTTAAGTTTGCCTTTTTCTTTCTGTCTTTTTTCTTGAACTTTGCCTTTTTCTTTCTTTTTTTCTTTCTTAATTTTCCTTTTCTCTTTTTACACTTCTTTCTTTCTCCACTTTGCTTCTTTCTTTCTTTCTTTCTTTCTTTCTTTTATATATATATATATATATATATATATATATGATAATTTTCTTACCTCCTCATTTTCTCTTCATTTCTTTTCTTATCTATTCTTCTATAATTCTATTCCCTTGTTTCTCATTTTTATTCACCCTTAGTTTGTTTGCTTCTTTCTTTCTTTCTTTCTTTCTTTCTTTCTTTCTTTCTTTCTTTCTTTCTTTTCTTTTCTTTCTTTCTTCATAACTTTATTCGCCCTTTGTTTGCTTCTTTCTTTCTTTCTTTTTCTTTCTTTCTTTCTTTCTTTTCTTTTCTTTTCTTTCTTTCTTCATAACTCTATTCGCCCTTTGTTTGCTTCTTTCTTTCTTTCTTTTTCTTTCTTTTCTTTCTTTCTTTCTTTCTTTCTTTCTTTCTTTCTTAATTTTGCTTCTTCTTTCTTTCTTTTTACATCATTCTGCGAATTTATTTTTATGTTTTATTCTTTTCACTTTCTTTCTTGTTTCTTTCTAAAGTTTGCGTTTTACTTTTCACTTTGACTTTTCTTTCTTTTTTAATTTTACTTCTCTCTTTCTTTCTCCCCTTTGCTTTGTCATTCTTTCTTTCTTTTTTCTTTCTTTCTTTCTTTAACTTCGAAATCCTTTATTACAGCTCGTTCATTTATTTTACATTTTCTCTACCCTTATTCTCTTCCTTCTTTTCCACATCTCCATCTTTTATCATTTCCGTTCAATCATTTATTTTCACATTATCCCTGGAAAGCAAGAAATTCATTGTAATTTTCTCAGCTAAATCCAACTAATTGTGACAGGAACATTATTTCATTTTAACCCATTAATGGCCACCGTAAAATCCAGTATAAATTATAAAAAGAGAAATCCACTAATAATCACAGATTTCTAAAAAAAATATTCGTTATTTACTCTTTGTATAGACAAATTCCTGTACAGAATGTATGTTTGTAACTCTAAGCCATTAATACCAACCATTCTAAAAATATGGTATTAATGAGTTAATCCTAGGATCAATTATCTTTAGTAAATTACGATTTAAACAAACTTTCTAAGATATAATTATGTTCACCATCATCTGAAATATAATAATTACCGTTGTGTATTTATTTATATTTCGTGTTACACAGGATAGTAGCAAGGGAGGTAAATCAACTTAAGGTAGTAAATTTATTAGTGGTCACTTCTCTTATATATTTTAATAATCTTTTCAAAGAAGATATTATTTTTCATGTAGATAAAATTAGTTTCTGAACAAAATGAGTACCAGAAATTGAGGCGTACAAGTCGAATTTCCAAGGCTAAACTATTTTTGGGTCACAGTTTTGGGTCATTTGTAGCCTACCGTGTGTCTGGGAGTCGACCTATATTGTAAGTATAGGCCAAATTCAGAATTTTGAGCTAAGAATCTTGAAGTCGACTTGTACGCAAGGTCGACTTGTACGTAAGGTCAACTTTTACCCCTCACTTTACGGTAGTTTAATTATCCCGTTTCTTGTACTGTAGTCTTATTTGTTCAAGAATTTTTTGCGAGGTACGCAGATACCTGTGCCTACTAAGTGATCGCCTTACTTCAACTTGGTCTTCAGATAGGTTTTGTAGTCGCCATCAATGTTCTGTTGCTAATTTTTTTAAATTTATTTTTTATTTCGAGCCACTGTTATATTAAATAAATAATTTGTTAACATTAAAAAGATATTGAGTATAAAGAAATTTATATAGTGTCAAGAGTAATCAATGAAACACTGTCCAAAATGTAAAAGGAGCGGATTAATTAAACAGTTCATTAGCCTCTATTTTGGTTGTGAATTCTGGAACTATACTTTCTTGAATTTCAATTCATTATTTCTTGACAATAATTTAAAAGTTTTCTAAAAATTGTCCGCAATTACACTAGTCGTAATATAATTTTAGAGGGAAGAAAAGAGCCTCAGTATTTTCTTGAAAAATATTGGATTTGTTTTTCCCATTTTAAAAACGACACTTTATGCACACCACCCAAAATTTTATACGCATCACTTTATACACACACCACTTTATACACATACGACTTTATACACACCACTCAAACGATGACTCTGACCAGGAAGGTAAACACAGAACACTTTTTTTGTTGCTATTCGACAGTTAAATAAGGCCACTTAAGCTTAAAACTTCCATACGCAATATTGACATCGAAGACTCTACCGGGATTTCAGGTACTAAAGTAATTTTTTATCCACAGGTTCTCAACAGAGAAATTCATTTCTACCTCACTGAATATCAGATGACGCGTAACCGCTGTAGATCAATTGTTATCAAATACAGCAGGTACATCAAGAAGAAAAAATGCATTAGACAATCAACATGTATTTTTGTACTAATGTTTACACAATACAAAGAAGCCATTCAAAATAGAGGGTTACTTTATTTCAGTGGTTCGCAAATAGTGTGGCACTCATCATAAATGCGGTAGAAGAGGATAGCAGGTGAGGCGGAAGAGGATAGCAGGTGAGGCGGATTGGTTGAAAGACAATCAAAGATTGAGAAACAGTTTCAAAAATATTCGTATGTAAAAAATAAATATGATTTCAAAATTTAAAATATAAATGTGGATTACTTGTAATTGCATGCATGAATCCCAGAGGTTGGTTGGGAAAGAATTCCTCATCCACCTCATGCTCCCGCCCTTGCTCCTTCAGACTGCCATTTATTCAGTAGGTTACAGAATTATTTGGATGGATTAACTCTCGAAAGCCATGAGGACGTCGAAACTGACATTTCAGAGTTCTTCGCTTCGAAACCAAAAGAGTTCTTTATTAATAGGATTAAAAATCTTGTAAACAGATGGAAGGAAGTCATAGATAGTCATGGAAACTATATTGATGAATAAATTTCAATAAAATGTAAGATTTGATCACTCGTTCTTTATTATTCAAAATCCGGACAGAACTTATATATATATATATATATATATATATATATATATATATATATATATATATATATATATATATATATATATAATAATAAAAAAAGAAAAGAACAGTAAAATATATAATCCGGTGTTCTTATTGATATTTTTTATTGTTACAAAACAGTGCTACAGAGCATAAATATTACAAATTAACTGATTTAAAATATGGTTTCTTCGCTAAACAGTAATAACCATGTTTCAAAAACCGAAGCTAAAAACTTCAAATTTAATTATATAATTAAATTAAAAGCATTAATTACATAATTAAATTAAAAGCATTTGTTCTGTTTTATCTTCAAGCGAAAGTCGCTTGGAGATGAAACAGAACTAAATCTTTTAATTTAATTATATAATTAAATTTGAAGTTTTTAGCTTCGGATTTTGAGACATGGTTATTACTGTTTAGCGAAGAAACCATATTTTAAATCAGTTAATTTTATATATATATATATATATATATATATATATATATATATATATATATATATATATATATATATATATATATATAAAACAGTGGGTTCTCAAGCCTTGAATGGAAACCATCCTAATATGAGTGTCTGAGTTGGGCATCAGAAAGAGCATTTGGCCTTGTAAAACCTTGCCATAAATCATTGTTGGGTAGAATCCATCTTGCTTTGTGTCAGATTAAACCTGGTCCTGCCTCAAAAAAAAAAAAAAAAAGAAAAGAAAAAAATCATGGCCATGTATATTTGTATAATTAAGTTCAAGTGCATCTTTGTTGTACAAATATTAGCATGACTTCAAGATTATCTTCTATTAATGTTCACTGTGAAAATACCCAGTAAGTAATACAGATTTATTTGATGAGTTTTATAGCACAAATATACATATAATTATTTTAGGGGGAAAAACTATGACAAAGTGGAAAAAGGGTTTGTGTGATGCATTTCATCCTTTAAGACTTCGTTGGATTAAAGCAGGGGTTCGCAAATGATTGAGAAACAGTTTCAAAAAAACAAAAAAAAAACAAAAAAAACAAACAATTCATCAAAAAATAAATATGATATCAAAGTTTAAAATATTATCATGGATTAGATGTGAATTAATACATGAATCCCAGTATAAATAGTTATAAAAAAAATTGACCAATTTTATCATTGTGATATTTTTGCATTAGATCAAATTTGTGTTGTTTTGTTTTACGACATATCAATTTCAATGGGTTATTTAATGCCAGCAAGGTTTTTATGAGAAGTTCGTATGAACAGAATATGTATTCTTTGTCAGAAATCAGTTTATAGATCGGGTTTCATTGACGTATTTTTGTAAAAGGGCTTTTTGATATCAAAATATCAAAATTTAAAATATTATTATGGATTAATTGTGATTGCATACATGACTCCCAGTATAAATTGTAAATAATTATTGACTAATTTTATCATTGTGATATTTTTGCATTTTTCAAGTATTAAGAATAAAGTAACCATACTCCACAAATTAGAGGAGAAAGTTATCAATGATAATGTTCTGATTTCAAATCCGGGGTTATCTCCCTTTAACGCTGTCTCTGTTTTTTTTTTTTACAATTTTTAAATGTACTTTTTATGACATGAAGCGGAAGCAAATCATAAATCATAAAATGCGGCCGAAAGAAAAATTTGTCGCGGGGGGGGGGGCATTGCTGTATGGTGTTGTATAAGGATAAGAAAAAGCAAAAAATGAAGTTCATGAGGCTATGAAGGAAAGATAACGGCTAATTCTAGACTTGAAAAAGGTCAGAGTTGAAGTTATTGGGGAAAAAATCCTGCCGGAAGTGTTATTTTTTTCCACAAAGCAGCAGTTCTTGGGAAGAAGCTGTCCGAATAGATCTTACTCCTTACTAATGGAATACAAAGGGAACGGGGATGTTTCACACTTGTATACGTGGCATGGCGTGCCCCAGTTGTAAAGGTCAGAGTAGTGGGACTAAGGAATGTAGCTCATCATAATACATCATATGGAAATAGCGATAGCGCAGCTGGGAGGAAGATGTTATAGGGTGGAAAGTAACTCATCACCCACAGGGCCGCGTAGACGTTTTTGTATCATGACAAGCAAGTGAAGACTGTGCAGCTCAAAATGAACGAGCCATTTTCTATCATATTTGTCAGCAGATCGCATACATGAGTTCCACTTGTGGTTTGGGGAAACCTTGATTTCAAATAGACGTCTAAAACGAGGTCCCTCCTTGAGAAAAAAAAAAGAAAAAAATCCATGATAGGTGAAAGTTCGCTTTCGTCTGTATTGGATTTTATAAGCCAGTATTTTGCCCATTGAGCCACCTGGGTTAGGTCAGAGGAGATATGTGCCTCTAGGTTCTGGTCTTCCAAATTTTGGGAGGTGTGCCTATAAACAGTTGCATTATCCACATAGATATTCAGGGTACGTTCTTAGGAAGATAATTCATATACAGTAGAAAGAGGGTTTCAAAGCGAAAACCATAATAGTTATCACTCCTAGGGTGTTCATGTTGAGGTGTTCAACAAACCACTTGTGCATTTTTATAACGCCACTATTATATAGTTATTGTTATAACACATTTTTACTTTATATAACGTACTTCGTATAAGGATTCTCTATGCGCAATGCTTGTGCTACTTGCCAAGATGCCTTTATACTTAGTCTGAAGATTGACTCCAAATGGTTAGGTATTCACACAGCTACCCAACTGAGATGAGATGTGACACATGGTTAAGATTTCTGTGGGGAACCAGAGCGTTTCCATTCGGCCCATTTGTTTGGGATCTGTTACAATTCTTGTCTTATTTACTCAGCCAATTCTTCGTCCCATAGAGAGATTCTCGACTGAGTCACCCTTTTCCCGAAGACAGAGGTATTTCCATTCGCAGGCGGGACAGCGAACTGCCTGACTCGAAACGGCTGATACTTACCCAGCCTCCGCACTTAGACGTCATATGACACAAGGTCAGGTTTAACGTGGTTAACCCGAGCGCGAACACTCAAGCAACTGGTCCAAAATTTACCCATTGCCCACAACTACGGAGAAAGTGTACTTTGTTTTTTTTCAGCTGATTCTCTATCGGTAGACTGAGCCCCGACTGTACCATCTTCTGCCCGAAGACAGAGGTGTTGTGAGTCACAGGCCACACAGCGAACTGTCTGACTCCGAACGGCTGGTATTTACACCCCCCCGCACTGAGATGAGATGTGACACAAGGTCGAGATTATTGTGGGGAACCATAGCCATTGGTCAAAATTTAGCCACCCCCGCGGGCACACGTACATTGCATGTCTCTATTTCTCGGGCGAGTTTCTGTCCATACACATAGCCTCGACTATTCAGCCTGAATATAGAGAGCTAGACAATCGGAGCCAGACAGCGGACCACCTGACTCCAAACGACTAGTATTTACCAGTCTCCCACACAATGAGTTTACTGTGTGGAAACCGGACCAATGTTCAAAATTTACCCGGCCCCCACAAAATCGGACTCGGTTACATCACTTGTCTGTTTTTGTCAGTCGAGTTTCTATCCAAAGACAGAGCATCGACTGTCATCTTCTGTCCGAAACAGAGGTTTTGTCAATCGCAAGTCAGATAGGGAACAGCTAGTATTTACCCAATCCTACCTGGATGTAGTGCAAGGTCGTTTTTTACGTGAGACGATTACGAGCTCGTATTTAGTGGTAAAACTCGTTGCAAAGAGCCATTTGTGATAGATAGAAATGAACAGACTGTCATAGATATGAAATAGAATAATTCCTACAATTATTTTAATATATTTTCTTTTTATACGTTATTATTTTTCTAGATATAATTTAAGTAAATGCGTTTTTTAAAAAAATAAACAGTATTAATTACATTTACTGGCCTGAATGTTCGAGAAATTTCGTAGATAGCTAACAATGGTTAAATAATAACGTATAAACAGAAAATATATTAAAATATTTGCCGGAATTAATTCATTTCATATATATATATATATATATATATATATATATATATATTATAATTTCAGCACTTGAATATTGCATGAAACTCTGAGTTGTGCAATTAATGCAAGACATTATGTATCTTGCTTTATATATATATATAGAGAGAGAGAGAGGGGGAGAGAGATAAATGCTTGGGCGTACGCCTTATTTCTTAAAAAAACGCTTTAAAATGTGATGCCTTTGTATTTTTAATGTAAAAGATAAAATTCCAGCAATTAAAATATATTTGCTTTTTATATATGCTTTTTGTTTTTCAGGATTCCCTTAATTCCAAAACATTTTGCTTGGATTCGTCTGTCCTCAATCAGTTTGGTTAGATTATGAATATTTTGTATGAGGAAAATGATATGTTGTCTTCACCATAATCCCTAGGCTTTTTTAGAAGTTAAATCTTAATACAGTTTCTAAATGTTAACTCACCACCAACTAATGCTGTAAACATAACGCGTATGTAGCGCTGTCGCTGTTTGAAGAAAAAAGATTGTCTCATTATGAAAAAAGATTGTCTCATTATGAATGTATTTACATAGTTTTTTAACATTTATATTTTAATTTTGAAGTAATTTGTACACAATAGCAAAATCAAAGCTGGTAAGTATACATTTGATGAAACCAATTTAAATTTTATTCAAAGAAGGCTACTCTCAAAGACAAATTACCCAGAAGTTGGAAATTTCTAGACTATTACAAAGGCAATAGAAACAGGTACAAATATTGACAAAAACGAACTGGAACACCAAAAGTGACAACTGCTGCTGAAGATAAACACTTGATCATTGAGAGCAAAAGGAATAGAAGGAAAACTGCTCCGGAGCTGACAGCTGTAATTAATTTATCTCGACAGCAATTTAGATGTCTATGCATCCCAGTGGATGCATAGCCGTCAAGAAACACTTATTATTGAAGATTAATAAGCAGAAAAACTGTTATGGAGAAAAAAAAAGCAAAAGAACTGTACATTGAAAGTGTGGCAAAATGTATTGTGGACAGACGAGTCCAAATTTAACCATTTTTGGTGGTAAGAGGCGACCATATGTGAGAAGAAAGCCGAGAGAAAAAGTGACTGATGAATGTGTGATTCCTACAGTTAAGCAAGGTGGTGGGTCTATTATAGTGTGGAGTGTTTTGTAGATGAGGCGCCTGGAAATTTGATTCAAGTCAAGAGAATCATAAAAAAAGAATCGAACTCGAATTTGCAAAGACATGCTACACCATCTGTTTTATGGGTAATTATAAAAAATCACATTTCAACAAGACAACGATCCAAAACACTCTTCTAAATTATGACAAATAAAACGAACAGATGTTTGGAAATTAGGACTTGGATGACCTCTCTTCTATTGAATTAGTGTGGGATGAATCGAATGGGAGAGAATACCCAAAGCGTAAGTGTGAACTTTTTCAGTTCTTCAGTAATACTTAGGAATGTTTAGAAAGAATGCCGAGAATTTGTAATGCTGTAATTAAGGCAAGTGGTGACTTTATTGACGAAAACAAAAATTGACACCGTTGTATGATAATTTTTTTTTATAGTTAAGTGCGTATTTTTTGTCAAAATTAAAGCAAATAGATTGTTGTTACTGAAGTTTTATATTTACTTTACAAAATACAAAAAAATATTTTATTTTAAGGTGTTATTTTAAGAAATGCAGGGTGGCCCCAAACTTTTTGCCTGTAGTGTATATTTCATTACTTCGCGCCTATGTCACTAATGCATGCAAATTTATAAAAAATGTTTTCTATTTCAAACTCGAATATAGATTTTATTTTCCTTGTTTCTTCGAAATGCACTACTTTTGCAACTGCAAGCTTTACTATGTCTATTATTGTACATTGAAAATACAAAAGTAAGATTTGGTAAATAATTGCAACTGACATGCCTTTCAAGTGATGTCAGCGGAGAAGAGGGAAAAAATGGGAAATTGAAAATTAACAAAACGGAAAATGTCGAAAGATAAAGACTAAATGGGATGAAAAAGACAGGGAACGAGAATGGGTGAAAAGGGGGGGAGGAAAAGAAAGGAAGGGCGGAGAAAGAGGGGGAGAGAAAAAGAAGATAAAGAAAGAAGGAAAAGAAGAGAAATCGTAAGAGAGTGATATAAAAGAACAAGAGAAAGAGGAGAAAGAGACAAAAACAAAGAGGAGAGAGCGTGACGGAGATGAAAGAGAAAAGTGAAGTTGATGGAGAGGGAGAGAAAGAAGAAAAGAGAAATAGAAAAAAGGAAGGAGAAATGGAGAAGGAGAAAGCGAGAAACTGGGTTAAAGAACTAATGGCGGAGAACAAGATAAAGAGGAGTGGGGCAAAAGTAAGTATGAAAAGTAATGAAAGTTAGATATAGGGAAAAAGAGAGAAAGGGAAAAAAGAAAGAGAAAGAGAATAGATACAGGCGGAAGAAAACGAGGAGGAAGTGAAGAGTGAAAAAGAAGCAGAAAAGAAAGATAGAAAAAAAGAGGAGAAAGATAACGTTGCTGTTGTTGATGCTGTTTGGCATTATTATTATTATTATTAGTTGTTGTTGTTGTGAAGAAGAAAATAGTGAAGTTGGAGAAAATATGGTAGTGAAGAGGAAGTTAGAAAAGAAAGATAGGAAAAAGCTGGAGAAAAAGAGAATTGTAGTTGTTTTTGTTGCTGTTGTTGTTGTTGTTGAAGAAGAAGAAGAAGAAGAAGAAGAAGAAGAAGAAGAAGAAGATTATAGCAGTAAAGGAGAAGAAGGTAATAAATATGGTAAAATAGAAAAAGTCAAAGGAAATGGAAACGTGGTAGTGAAGAAGTAGAAGAGGATATTAGGAAAGAAAAAGCTGGAAAAAAAGTGAATTGTATTTATTGTTTTTGTTGTTGTTGTTGTTGTTGTTGTGAAGAAGAAGAAGAAGAAGAAGAAGAAGAAGAAGAAGAAGAAGAAGAAGAAGAAGAAGAAACTAATGAACGGGAAGAAGTAGAAAATATGATAGTGAAGAAGAAAGTAGAAACGAAGGAAAATAAAAAGCTGGAGAAAAAGAAAGTGCTATTATTGAAGAAGAAGAAGAAGAAGAAGAAGAAGAAGAAGAAGAAGAAGAAGAAGAAGAAGAAGAAGAACAACAACAACAACAACAAAAGGAAGACGAATAAGAGTATAGTTATGAAGGAGAAGAGATGAAGAATATGGTATTGGATAAGAAGAAGACAGAAGGGTAGAAGAAGAAAAAGCTGGAGTAAATGAAGATCGTTTGAAGAAAAAGAAGAAAAACAGTGAAAAATATAGTAGCGAAAAAGGAGGCGGAAGAGGAAAAATATTGTAAATAATAAGGAACAGATATAAGGGAAGAAATAAACTGAAAATTAACAAAAAGCTGGAGAAAAAGAAGGTAGTAAAGAAAAAAAGATAGTAAAAAATATGGGAGTGAAGAAGATCAAAAAGTAAAGAAGAAAAAGTAAAAAAAAAATACTGGAGAAGAAGAAACATTTTCTAGTGACAAAAAAGAAGATAGAAGTTATTAAGGAGAAGGAAAAAGAATGAAGAAAAAAAGAAGGGGATAGTAACAACAAAATAAAGATAGGAGGAGACGAAGAAAAAGATCTAAGTGAATAAGTCGAAAAAAAATGAAGCAATGCTAGCAAAAAAGAGGGTAGTGAAGAAGAAGTCAAAAGAAGATGACAAAGAAGAAAAAAGAAGAAAAATGAAGAAGTAAAATGAAGAAAAGAAAGTAAAAAGAAGTAAAAAGAAGTAAAAAGAAGTAAAAAGAAAAAGAAGTGAAAAGAAGTAAAAAGGAGGAAGAAGAAGAAAAAGAAGCAAAAAGAAGAAAAAACAGTAAAAAAAAGAACAAAAAGAAATAAAAAGAAGTAAAAAGAAGTAAAAAGAAGGAGGAAAAAGAAGGAAAAAAGCAAAAAGAAGTAAAAAGAAGAAGTAAAAGAAGTAAAAAGAGGAAGAAAAAGAAGGAAAAAAAGGAGGAAAAAAAGAAAAAGAAGCAAAAAGAAAAAAAAAAATAAGTAAAAAGGAGTAAAAGGAAGAATAAAAAGAAGTAAAAAAAGTAAAAAGAAGATAGCAGTCACAGTATTTGTAGTGTATTAAAAATGATACTGTAAATATATAAGAATGGAAATAACGTGAAGAATTATATTTAAGAAGAAGAAAAATATGGGAAAATTAAGCGAGGAAAGGAAAGATTTTCGTTAAAGCAATCATGCGGAAGCGAATTATGTAAAAGCGGGAAGAAAATGCAAACAAAACAAACTAAACCATATAAACAATCAATGCAAAAAATCAATTTCGACCCTAATCCAAGAGAAAAAAAAACTACCATGACATCGAAACTATAAAAAACGAAAAGAGATGAAAAAAGAAAAAAAAAGAACTCTGAGTAAAGCAAAACTATGGAATCCGGAACCTCGAAAAAACATAGCTTCCGGGCCGACTGATCAAAAATTACGAAAAAGATGACCTTGTCACTTGCGATCTGCAATAGCTGACAGTGGTCCTGAAATTCTCTGGCAACCATTTCATAGAAGCAGAAGCCAAGAAAAGGTAATTTTAATGTTCCCGAAATCCCTAGGCAGTTGACCTTTGAACTGAGATCGAAGTCTTTTTTCGCGAGTGTCAGTCTTCGTTAAGTTGCTTGCTGCAACATTCACAGAATTCTAAAGACAGGAACATCTCAAGATTTAAATGAAGGAAACCGCTAATGCTTACCGATATTGTGCTTCTTCACATTGTCAGTTTTCCTGATTCAATTTTCGATTCAATCCTTTGCGAAGACTTTTGTTTGGGACATGATGTAGAGCAAGGTTTTTCTTACAAGTCGATTGAGCCAATTCCATTGAGAATTATACAGGCTAAGTGAACGGTTCTCATAAGCACAATTGTTTGCATATTTCTTTTTTCCTAAATATTCCCAAGGCCCGTGAGACACTCAAGGTAGAGTTTTACTGACTGAGGTTGATGAAAAAAGATGTAAAATTGAAATTTATGACGATATGTCTGAAATAGTAATAGTGGTCGAAACATTAACCATTTCCCTATAAGGGAGCTGCCAGTACTGTTTTGGATTGAAATTTATAAAATATTTCTTTTAAAACAGGAAAACATTTTTTTCAAGTTCTGTATCTGTTATCGCTCTTTCCAGTATTGATGGGGGTTTCGTTTTGAACCTTATATTTGATGTGGTCTTCGAGTTACATGAGCTATCCATTTTAGTTGTTGCTGCTGTTGGTAGTCTTCAAGTGATGTGCATTCAGCTATTTGTTACGGTTAACCCTAGACTTAAAGAGGTTAGAATTGTAGTGTTCCGAGAAAGTACCCTCTCGGGAGTTCATAGGACAAATTGGAAGAAGCTGTCTAAATAGACATTTCTCCTTACTAATGGAATACATTGTATGGTGGGTCTTAGATGTGAAAGTCAGGAAATAAAGGATGCATCTGGTCACAACATTGGTCATGAAAATAGCGACAGAGTAGCGAGAGGCTTGCGACGTTTCGACTTTAGAGAAGGGGGGGTTATGGGTGGAAAATGAAGACTGAACAACCCCAGCCGTTAGGGGAGACGTCCAATTGGATAACGTCAGGCAAACGACATATTGTAATATTGTAACCCATGTTAATTCACAAACGCCAAAAGCATGTAAACTTCAGCACCCCTAACCGATTAATATCAGGATCCATGGGAAACAAGCCTGATAATTTGTAAGTGCATATTATTATTATTATTATTATTATTATTATTATCATTATTTCCTTTGATTTCTGGTATATAATCATTTCTTTCCGGATTCTGACAAGAGACATAGGGTCAGAAATGGCACCATGACATTTTTCCACTGAGCTGTTTTGAAAAACAAACCAAACATATTTTACATAGACAAAGCCCTTCTTAAGGCATGGGCTGTATTTGTGAGAACATTTTTTTTGTATTTCAAGGCATGGGCTTCCAGGAATCCCTTCAATGAGTCCATTGGAATTTTTTCCAATCAATTCGAGGGCTCCAACTACAACTGGAATTGTTGATGTTCTCATGTACCACATTTTTTTTAATTTCGATGCCAAGGTCCGTGTATTTTAATAGTTTTTTTTAAGATCTTCAAGGATAAATTACAGTCTTCTTGGACTGCCATATCAATAAGAAGGCACATTTCTGCTATTTTGCGTTTCATTTATTTTGACGCGTTCATTACCAGGACATCTGTTTTGTCTTGTCACAAGACAAGGACATCTTTGTCCTGAATTTGACTGCCGTGTTCAACAACTGGTTCCGCCAGGGGTCCGTCCTCAACCGAATCTCTAGGTGCGTGATCATGCTGCTGGGTGTTGGGCGGGATTTAGATAATTACACGCTCATAACTCTACTAAACACAGAGTTTAGGATTATGGCCAAATCCTGTCGAAACCTTTACAGTCAGTTGTCGAAATTATAGTCGTTTGCTGGCAGCGTTTCATTCATTTTGAGGCGTTCATTACCAGGACAGATGTCTTGTCTTGTCTTGTCACGAGACAAGGACATCTTTGTTCCGATTTTGACTGCCGTGTTCAACAACCGGTTCCGTCAGTGGTCCATCCTCGACCGGATCTCTAGGGGTGTGATCATGCTGTTGAAAAAGGACAAGGTTGTTGGGCGGGATTTAAATAATTACACGGCCATAATTCTACTAAAACACAGAGTTTAGCATCATGGCCAAGATCCTGTCGGACAATTTACAGTCAGTTGCCGAGATTCTGTTGGGAACCTAGCAAAATTGTTCTGTGAAGGGTCAAACAATTTAGAGCAAACCTGCATCTGATTCGCAGGAACCTAGTGGATATAACAGACTATGAGCAAGACGCGCTGATCAATTTGGATCAGTCCAATGCATTTGATAGGGTCGACCATCGGTACCTGGCTGCTGTCCCGCAGGCCGCCGGATTCGAACCCGAATTCTGCTGGTGGATTAATCGCCTATATCGCTCCCCTAGTGCTGTGGTGTAGGTGAACGGAAAGCGAACGCGTGATTTGCGCTGTTTCGGTCGGTTCGCCATAGTTGCCCATAGATTCATTGTTATATAATCCAGGTGTATCCGAGTAATATCTGATATTAAAACTGACCCACAGAGAGAGCTCAATGTATTTATTATAAGAGAGCATATATTTTATACAGGATAAAAATTCAAAATTATGTGGCTATTGACCAGCACTGTTATATGCCAGTCTTCCTCACTCGACTGTCATGGAATTGAGGTTTTGAATTTAGTTTAAATAGCAGTCGCTGAAAATGTACGGGGCTACCTGAGTGGGTGGCTTCGGTTTATAAGTAGTCTGGGTTAGTGACAAGGAGATGGGCCCGAGTTAGAGTTTGTTTATAGCCAAAGCCTTTAGGTGTATATAAATGAAATTAAGTTTCCTGCTAGTGGATTATATAGTTAAACTGTGGGGGATTTAAGACAAGACAATTTAAAGTTAGAATAAATTATCTAAATAATAGATTCACAAAATCTGTAAGTAAAGGCGAGACACCCAATGGAATAAATCACGCCGTACAACACATATATACAAACCTATATATCCACTTAACACATATACCTACGTACGTATATATATATATATATATATATATATATATATATATATATATATATATATATATATATATTATACGCCGTTGTACATATTGAGATTTTTAACTCATGGAGTGTTTTTTCTCCAGTAGTTGCCAAGTGTTGTGGGAGGTATTTTGATGGTGAAAGAGTGAATAGTGACCGATAATTCCTTATATTGAATGAGTATATTTTAAAGAATGAATGAGTCGTAAATCCGATTAGCGAGGTATAAGGTAGCTAGTGATTTCTAACTTTCAACAATCTACCTCCTTTTTTCGGCCTTGTGCCACAACTACCGTGTCAGTAATAAATCTTAGACAAGCAACGTTTGTGCAAAGACTTATAATTTTTAGTACATTTATATATGTTTAATAAGTGAAAAAAAAAATTAAAATAAATATTAATTGAATAAGACAGACATACTGTCGAAATATTGTTTAAAATTGTCAGAAACTGTTTTTCTTTTCTTCTCCTTTTCTTTTCTTCTCATTTTCTTAAATCGCACTCTTCTCTTAACAATTATTATTATTATTATTATTATTATTATTATTATTATTATCACCATTATTATTATTATATCATTATTATTATTTTATTATTATTATTATTATTATTATTGTTGTTGTTGTTGTATCTCTTTGTGTAGTACGAGTTGTTCTCAAGTCTAAACTAGAAGCTTCAAGGAAAAACAAGATTTTTCTATGAAAAGATGCAAATAGATGAATTGACATGCAACCAGGGAGAGAGAAAAAAATGTAATTGTGGTCACTGTATGGAGAGAAATCTACGTAAGATTCTAGAATTGTCCATAATTACGATATTTTAGAAATTGTATATTTGAGGGCTACCAGAATATATTTGTTTTCTATTTTTGATAACATTCCCAAAACCATAATAACGAC